AGTCCCTTAAACTAAATGAGTGTGTGTGTCTTTGCAGGTCTCACTAAAAAATCTATTAGAAAGCTGCAGCTGATTCAGAACGCCGCTGCTCGAGTCCTCACTAACACTAAGAAAGTGGATCACATCACTCCAGTTCTGAAGTCTTTACACTGGCTTCCTGTGTGTCAAAGAATAGATTTCAAAATACTGCTGCTGGTTTATAAAGCACTGAATGGTTTAGGCCCAAAATACATTTCTGACCTCCTGCTAAATTATGAACCATCCAGATCTCTCAGGTCTTCAGGGACTGGTCAGCTTTCTGTCCCCAGAGTCAGAACTAAACATGGAGAAGCAGCGTTCAGTTATTATGCTCCAAATATCTGGAACAAACTCCCAGAAACCTGCAGGTCCGCTGCAACTCTGACTACTTTTAAATTCAGGCTGAAGACTTTTCTTTTTGTCGCTGCTTTTAATTGAACTATTCATATCTTAGACTGCACTGTAACTTTTATCCATGTATTTTTTCTTTTAATGTTTATTTTATTAGCTTTTCTTTTTAATGACTGATTTGAAATGCCATTTTCTTAATGTCTTTCGTTTTTTGTAAAGCACTTTGAATTGCCTTGTGTTGAAAAGTGCTATATAAATAAACTTGCCTTGCCTTGTGGATATACCACTCAGAGAAACTTTAAATCAAAGAGTCCATTTGTAATGGTGAGCTCAGCCTCCGTAACACAGCTACATGATGAATGTTGCCCAAATGCTATAAGAATATATTACTCTGTCAAAGTGTTTTTGTCGCTTGTGATTCCTTTTTAAAAAAAGCTGGCAGATGGCTCGGAGAATGAGAAAGAGTTGGAGCTTCTCGGCTGTTTTGTGCCAGATGCTTGTGTTAAGCGGAGGATACGATGCAGAGTTAGAGCTCCTCGTCGCATATTAAAGACTGTGCATAGTTAAACAAAAGAGACCCCCCAGAGTGAGGGGCCCATCACAGGAGTGTCATACATGTCAATCAACTCAAGCAAGTTTCTCCTGAGAGAGCAGCCATCAATATTACATCGTGCTCCGGTTTTCAGCCCTGAGACTCTTCCCCTTTGATTCCTTTTGCCCCGCCATCTTCCCTGTGTTGGAAATGTGCTGCGAGGTTAGAGGCGTGAGGTTCTTGTACCCCCCCCCTCCTCATCCCCACTGCAACCCCAGATTGAGTGGCAGCTCTGTGAGATATGGCGTGTGTGTGTGTGATGGGGACAGATCCCTGTGCAGCCAATTGAACCCGGTAACAGTGAGAATGCTTTATTATGTTTCAAATGTGTGAGGACCACCGGGGATGAAGCTTTTATTCCGCTTTCTGCTTCGATCACACACAGGACAAGAAGTTTGGGGAAGAATGAGCGAACTTTTCTGAAGTATTGTCATGGGATAATACACTCTTAGAAATGAGACGGGTTGTTCCTTAAGGATTGAGGTTTAACCTAGAACCATTTTGTTTTTTTAACAGTCCTTTGGAAAATGATGTGTACTAATAAGAACCATTTCTTTGCTTTGTAGAAGAAACAATTGTTCCTTTTCGTTGAAAGCATCCTCCAACAACCCGGAAACTCAGATTGTAAACCTTGGGTTGAAGTAAAACTAGTCTTTTTGGCACATCTTTAGGATAAACTGTGGTTTTTCATAGAACCCTTAAGAATAGGGTTATAGGTGAAACCCTAACAAAAACATATCTAAAATCCCCACATATGGTATGTTGGATTTTAGATGAAAGACAAACTCAATATTTTGGCACATCTGTAGAAATACAACATGGTTTTTCATAGAACCCTTTACAGTAGGGTTATAGATGAGACCCTTACAAAACAACCCTGTGAATAATTAAATGTGTATTATTCTGATTTAATACACTCATGAAACTCATGGACGGGTTCTTGTTGGAACTATTTAAAGGTGGAAAGGCTCTGGATAAAATCCCCACATGTGGTTCTAGGTTTAACCTTTTTATGTTGGGTTCTAGGTCAAACCTACAGAAAGTGTCGAGGTAGAAGAACCCTAGTTAGCACCTATTTTCTTGGAGTCCACTTTTCAAAGTTTGCTGGTATTCTGATTTCCTGTTTTGAAATTCGTAATGACATAATCAGAGAAAACCTTTCCAGAGTTGTGGCCATGCTAGAAGTTCAAAGTATTGCACATGAAAAGGAATAATTAGCTGTAATTCCATTTCATGAATATCATCGAGCTTTGGAAGAAACTTCAACCAATCCGATCGCTTACATGCAACTCGTTTTTTGTTGTGGTTTCACTCAAATGAGGCAGGAAAGTAAGCAGAGAAATGTGAAGCATGCAGCCTGCAGTGTGTTGTTCTGATCTGAGCCACCATGTCTCAGCTTTTTAAGAGGGTGCTTTGCTTTCTGTCGTCAGCCGGGATTGATTTCAGGACAATGTCTCGTGGACATTAAAACCTTTTGCTTGGATACATCTTAATTATTCAGTGTACTGTTTATCCCCCCCATGGCACTAATTCACTGTATCAAACTGAAGTTTCTTTCACGGCTTCTTATAGTCATTACAGTATCCTTGACTCAGTTAACTATCTATAATAATATCCTAAAGTCTTTTGTGTTGCCATGCATTAATGATAAAAGTGTTTTTCAGACTATCTTTATTGATCAGGCCATTCTCCTCTGTGACCAAATTCATTGCCGAACATGACAGTCCCACATGCTTTAAGAGATGATGGTGGGGGGGAAATGCAATGTGATGCAATGATCAAAGAAGGCTATGTAATATCATTTCCATAATCGTTAGGCTCCTCGTCGTCTGTCATGGGTTTGGGAATGTTTGATGCTTGGGCAGGTCTCTTAATTAGCCATCCTCACCATCAGCTGTCTGCCGCCCCTTCTGTCTCACAAATTACAGAGTTTGTCGTCGTCGTATGGCCAGAGGACGAAGAGAGGAGGGGGTAACTTTTCCCAAGTGGTCCCTTAATGCTTACAAGCAGCATGTCGGGTTGCATTTCAGTTTAATCAGGATGTTAGGGATCACGTGTGTTCTTCAAGTTTGTGTGCGTTTAGGTGGTATCATTTGTAAGCTTGCATCCTTGAGAAAATTATTTTAGTTTCTGCAAATGTTGCTTTTCGACCTTGAGGCTTAACTGCCCCAATTTAGCCCTCAATGGGATCCTCGCGCTTGTAATTAGAGAGGTCATTAGTGCATGTGAGTGTTTGTGTGTGGGCATCTGAAGAAACCGATCTATTTTGTGTGAACTTCTCTGGCTCGGTGTCTGGCAGTAAAGGGGTTAGCCCTTGGCGAAGACCTTTCATTTCCATGCGCTGCACACTGCATTAAAAAGGACGGAGGAATAAGTAAATACACAGCACTCCTCGCACTGGGATTTAGATATACCCCCTCCAAAAAAAAACACAACATCCCACAAGGATTACGGCAGATAAGGAGAGAAAAAGGATCTTGGAGTTCACATGTTTTGCAAATCTGCATTTGGACGAGTGTGTGTGCAGACTCGAGGGCTAACATCTCACCCGGCAGCTCCAACACTTTGTCCTCACACAGATCGCCCATAACTCCCGCTCCTCATTCCCAACACGTCGCTGCTTCCTTTTAGCTCACGGACCTCACTTCTCCTCTCACCCCGGCCTCATTACTCAAATTAGGAGCTCCAGTAATCACGGCGCTCGGCTCAACGCAGCCCCTTTAACACACCTCGCGCTCACACTCCGCTCTCCTCATCCCTTTGAGCTCATGCCCTCGGTTCAGGAGCCAATCCAGCACAAGCGCATGAATATTGCAGAGGTGGTGTGATGTCGGAGAGCCCTCTGGTTTTATTCCATCTCTACGTGTGATTGGTGTAGGGGGAGGTTAATGACACAGAGTGTATGTTGTGACAAAGATCTGAGGTTGAGGATGGATGGATGTCATAAAGTGATACCTATATCTATCCCTACTTTTAGATTATGATTCTTTTTTGAAAATACAAAAAACAACCTTTTAAGTGATGGTAATGCGATATCATTAAACTTTCTAAAAAGTCGTCATTATTTTTCATGGAGGAAACGACTATCTGATTCTGGAAAGCCACATTCATGCAGAAAAGTATTTATCATGCTAATAAATGGGTTCACATTAAAAGTAAAAAGGGAAAGGGCTCAATCAGGTGCTTACAAATCAAATCAGGTTTTATTTGTATAGCACATTTTAAAAACGATTTTTGGTCGAGCCAAAGTGCTGTACAAGCAAATAATAAATAACACTTTACTACAATCGCAAAACAGAAGACAATAAATTACAACAGCAAATATAAAAATCAAACACAGGGAAATGTCATGAGTCGTGCTCCGCTCTGACTAGAAGGCCAGAGAGAAGAAGTGAGTTATTGGTGTTGATTTAAAAACCCCTAGGGTCTGGGCCGACCTCACATGGAGGGGCAGAGTGCTCCAGAGCCTGGGGCCAGCTGCTGCGAAGGCTCGGTGCCCTCGGGGTTTGAGCCTGGTCTTGGGCACTACCAGCAGAGTTTGAAGAGAGGATTGAAACCACTCCCAAGTCTATACAACAAATACGAAGCTACCGCTAGCAGCAGGCTAACAGCTAAGCTAGCTCTTTCAAACGGTGGCAAATTCCACTAACAACAACCTCTAACATTCAGCAGTTTACACAATGTATCTTGTTTGTTTAATTTTTATAAAAAGCTTCCAGATCACCATTTGACTTAAGAAAATCAAAGGTATCTTTTATCTTGTTTCCAGTATTTATGTGAAGCTAAGTTAGCCGTCAGCTAGCAGTAGCTTCGTGTTTAGCAACAGACTCATCTAACTTTCTGCAAGAAGATGTTTGAGCCATTTACCCTTTTTAACTTTAAATGTGAGCCCCATGTTTCTAATGTTAGAAAGTGTTGAACTCTTTTCCAAAATGTTCAGCTTTTTCTTTATAAAGTTTGAAGCCTTCAACTCGATTGATATGGCAGTTCTGTTATTAATGGCGTTCTCTCTCCCCTCTCCTCTCTCCTCTCTCTTCAGGTCCTGGAGCGTCTCTTCCAGAAGGGTTTCAGCGTGTCGGCGTCTTGTGGAGGCGGCGTTGATTCTTCCCAGTTCAGCGAGTATGTGTTGTGTCGCGAGGACCGACGAAGCCTCTCAATGAACACGTCCATCAGGATAAAACAGGAGCCCCTGGACTAGAGCATCCTGGGAAAAGGGACTGTCAACCCTACCAATACTCCCTCCATCTTCTCACACCACCTTCCCTCCCCTCACCCTCCAACAGGACACTCACCGCCCCCCCCCCCCCCCAACATACCTAAGTATTAGCAGAGGCTTGTTAACCTCGCGTCTCTGCAGAACTCTGAGGGGAATGTAGTACCAAACAAAGGAAAGAAAGCAGCAGCAAGAGTTTTTGATTATGTTTAAACAACTCCCAAAGAGACTGTGATGAAAACAAATGGACTCGACAGCAGCTCACTTGAACAATTTATAGCACCGTGACTGGTTCCCTCATGAATAAGGTATCCTGACCCTTTTTGGACTGAGAAAACTCCAAGAATCCCAACACACACACCTACTCCAACTTTGTCTGGCCTGCTGTGGGACATAAAGCTTTGGCAGACAGGACGCTGGTAATGATAACAGGAAGAGGACATAATCCCATAATTTCTCGTGTCCCCCAAAAGGCCCCAAATCCCCCCAAGACCCTCGACCCCCCCACCCCTACAGGCTTTGCTACAGACGGCGTCGCCTCGCCGAAAGCAGCATCGTTTGCCAAACTGATTGTTTATTACAATTTTCATTGTTGTTTCTAAAGTATGTTCTTCTTGCTCCTTTTGCTGTTCTTATCATGACATGGTGTAAACCATTATTATTAATAGGATTATTTTTAATGTTTTTTCCTTTCTCCAATATGAAGGATGTATGAACGTTGTATTCATTAGGCTTTGAGAGCTTGTGAGGGAGCGTTTCTTGGCAGTAGAGGCAGAAACTCAGATGTCTGCAGGCTATGTGGCTAAAGCGATCTGGCTGGCAATGCATTCAGAGCCGGGAAAAGTCCCATTGTTCAAACGAGGGAAGGAAGAGAACCTGGATCTTTCAAAATTGTTTATAGTCAAATGTGTAACACACATAAAACGTGCTCTGGAATTTCTGCTTATTAGCTCTAAAACATATCTCGGGTCTCTGATCGGATTCTTTCTCACGGGCACGAAACATTTGCTTTTATTCAGCAGAAGTTTACGTCCATTTGAAATGTTGAACAAGCTCTAAGTGTATTCCAGTTTGATGAGGGAGAATGTTAAAGACTTGAGGACCAACGTGGACGGTAGCCAGTATGTCTCGTGATCAGCAAGAGATGTACTCTAAATGTTTCTTTGCACTTAAACATTTCCCAGCCAACACTAGATGAGCCCCGTGAAGTCAGGCTGTTCAAAAACACGTTCCAACAGAATGAAAAGGTACCAAAGGAGACGAGGTGCAGATTTTGTTGATTGTAAAAACATAATGGCATCATCTCTTTTAGCAGTTTATAGCCAAATACACAATGCATTATACAAAAAATACCAACATGTGTTCCTCCAGGCCTCTGGTTTTGTTGAGAATAGCTCGCAGCGCAAAGTTTGAGAGCCAAAGTCTCTTGTTTGTTTCAATATTGTCACTTCTAAGCCAAGATTATTTTCTCTGGTTTGTCACATGTTCGTACGGCAGAACCCAAAGTAAACTCCCAGCATCAGCGTCTCTCACAAAGAGGCGAGTGGGCGGCATTTACTCTATCCTGCTCTCATTCTTTTGGTCTTATTCTCAACATGTCTGGATCAAAGACAGAAAACAAGAAAGGCCAAGTTGTCCATGCTTTGTATTTGTGTGTAACTCACAGATGCTGTTTCTTCCAATCCAAAAGACTGATATATAAAAAAAAAAAAGTCCATTCTGATCTTTGTGAGCTCTGAGCTAAACTGGGGTTGCTTTTTATTTAGGTAGGTTTTTGGACCGTGTTGTGCTAATATCTGCTCTGGATGGTTTGATTAAATAAGGCCAGTGATTGGTGGAAGATGAGCTGGGTGTTAGTGCAGAAATCCACTCCTCCCCGGGGGTCTCGCTCACAATCAAGCCCATCTTTGTTCTGACCTGCCAGTGGCCTGCGCCTTTGCATCCAGTCGCCTCAAAGGGAATGGTCAACAGGGCCTTTCATGTTTCAGAGGCATGTTGGGCTCTTCACAGCGACCGCCTCCCCGAAGGCTCGCAGCGGTGCCAGTAGAAACTCGGCTCTCACCCCCTGCTGTGGTGTCATCCCCATGCCCTGCTTTCTGTAAAAAATCGCCCTCCTACTCCGCGGCTCACTGAACCACACGGCAACACACAAACTGATGAGTCAAATCTGGGGAGAAGTTACTGTACGGGATCTTTGACCCAGTTGGGTGTCATCAAAAACTCAGAATCAGAGTTAAACCAGACTAGTTCAATCTGAGAAGAAGTTACCGTACAGCTGCTGATCCTGGGACCTTTGACCCAGTTTGGTGTGAAAAACTCAGCGAAAACTAAGAATCAGAGTTGAATTTAAACCAAACATCTGCAGGAATTACCCTTTTTTTTTTAGGGAGGAAGTAAAAAAGGCTTGTTTTCTCACTGATGTTGAAATTGCAAATCACAAAATTGGCGTTTAATCCGTTTGCCGATGAGCTCTCCAAAAGCTCTCAGTGAAATTTGATCAGAAGTTGCCGATCCCCAGATCTTTGAGCCAGTGTGGAGAACTCAGCGAAAACTAAGAATCAGAGTTGAGATTAAACCAAACATCTGGGAGGAAGGAAAAAAGGCATGTTTTCTCACTGACGTTGCAATGAGAAGTCACAAATGGACGTCTAACAGATTTTAAGGGGTGCACATTAGAATAAAACATAAATGGCTGCAGATAAAGTGAGAAAAGGAACAGAAAATGCAGTTTTTGGAGTTTGTCATTCTGTGCAATAACCAAACCTTTTGACTCAATGACAGGTTCGTTACAAAGCTAAGAGAACTTCATATTGTTCACACGTTTTCGATGAAGTGCTGGTCAGTGTTTCAGCCACTTTACATGGCATTCACTCCACCTCTGAGGCGGGTCAGTTGTACAGTTATTGTATATTGAATTATCAGGACTCTGGGTTTTAAACGGGACCCTCGTGTTTTTAAGAGACCTCTAAGTCCTCGTCACAAAAAAAAAAGAAGAATGGAAATAATTCAAAAGCATTACATTGTGTACATATGGATTCAAACATTTCAAAGGGTATAATAAGGTGCAAATGTATATTATTTAAAGTGTTTAAAACAATTAGACTGTGGTATTAAAGGGCATGTGTTCATTTACAGTGTCTCCATTTGACTTTTCTTGCATATTTGCGATAATAAAAGGATGTACTGATGTATAACTGACCGGTGTCTCTTTGCTCTCACGTTCTTCCACTTACCTTTCAAAAGGAAAAATCAATAAGGCTTAGTTTGAGCGTTTACTTCAGTCATGACATTTTGCTTTAATTGGTGATTTTGGAGATTCAGATGATGCCTACATGCATTGGAGGAATGTTACAAAGCACATTTAATCAAGTATTGTACTATTTTGACATACTGTACTGTACTGTACTCCAGTATTTCCAGTTTATGCTACACCATATATTTCTACTCCACTACATTTTGGAGGCACATGTACTTTTAAATCCATTACATTTACTTCACATTCATATTTACTTGCTACCTTTCTACATACACATGATATCCTTGTATGATATGTTGTATTACATGTACCCAGTATTTAAAGTAACTAAAATAGCCTCAACATTGACAGACAATAACATGTATTTGTTGGTAATAAAATCAGAAGATTCTATAATAATGTAAAAAGAGCTATTCTGCATACTGAGTCCGTTTTCTGTACATATTGCTGAAAATACCTCTTTATTTCCACTTAAGTCAACATTTTCAATTGCATACTTTTACTTATAATTGAGTATTTTAATACTATGGTTTTTGTAATGTTTTTATATATATTTCTACTACACTACACTTTGGAGGCAAATACAGTACTTTTAATTCAACAACATTTATTTCACTTATACCTTTAACAAAACATGATATGCTTATACAGTGTCATTATGATGCAGTACTTAACAATAATGTACCTATTTAAAAACGTACTTAAATTGGCTGAATATTGACAGAATAAAACACTTATAATAATACAAAACATACGTATGCTATATAAGAGCCGTTCTGCATGATGAGTACTTTTACTTTTGATAATTGAAGTACATTTTGAATTGGATACTTCTGTTCTTCCAGTTAAAGGGGACCTATCAAGCAAAATGCACTTTTTGATGTCTTTTATACATCAATGTGTCCCCGGTGCGTCGGGGAACTCACGCGGCGTTAGAAAATAAAACCCTCTCTCTTTTCCTCCGTACCCACATCTTTTAAAAACAGGGGTACAACGAGCGGATACAGATTTGCTGCCGATCTGACGTCAAATCGGCAACGGACCCACAGAAAGTTGCTATCAGAAACAATGCCTGATGTGTTTTGGACGTGATCTCGTCTTTGTTTACGTTAGCAAGCCTCGCTAACACTCAGAGCTAACCTGTACTGGAGAGCACGTGTGTTTAAAAAGCAGGAAATAAAAAAAGGAACTCACCTTGTGATAAACCTGCAAGAGAAAAATCATTTGAGCTCCATACTGTTTCAGAAATAATCCTTGATGTGGTTTAGAACAGGATGGTGTTTTATCACAGCAGAATTTAACTTTATCTCTGGTAGAATTCTGATCAGGCATTAGCTCCGCCTCCTCTTATTATTTTTTTTAAGCTAAGGACCCAAAATCCGCGTTTCTGTGGTTGTTTCTCAATGTCGAGGAAGGCTGCTCCAGAGCCACTATTTCAAGGATGCTACGTCATCGAGTCCCGCCGAAGGACTGTTCCAATGTCCAGGATGATTGGAATTCTACCGAGGCCGGCGTCCTTCGTTGCAGGAAATTTCGAGGCTGCACATGTGTATCCTCCGCGGTCTTAAAATCCCCACAATGCTTTGCGCACGGACCAATTTCCAAATCTTTGGCGGAAATCGCGCTCCATTTAAGGCGGGGCCTCGCATATTACATTACATTACATTACATTGCATTTAGCTGACGCTTTTATCCAAAGCGACTTACAATAAGTGCATTCGACCAGGAAGACACAACCTTGAAGAAAACAGAATCATATAAGTATATCAGGTTTCATAGAGCCAAACATTTCAAGTGCTACTCAACTGGCTTTAGGTAAGCCAGTCCTTTATTAGTATAAAAGTGCTTCGTTAATAGTTCTATCGCTCGAAGTGGAGTCGAAAGAGATGAGTTTTCAGTTTGCGCCGGAAGGTGTGTAAGCTATCTGCTGTCCTGATGTCAATGGGGAGCTCATTCCACCATCTTGGAGCCAGGACAGCAAACCCACGTGTTTTCGCCGATGGGAACTTGGGTCCCCCTCGCAGCGAGGGCGCAACGAGTCGTTTGGCTGATGCAGAGCGTAGTGCACGTGCTGGGGGTGTACGGTTTTAACCATGTCCTGGCTGTAGGAAGGGCCAGATCCATTCGCAGCATGGTAAGCAAGTACCAGTGTCTTGAAGTGGATTCTAGCAGTTACCGGAAGCCAGTGAAGGGAGCGGAGGAGCGGAGTGGTGTGGGAGAATTTAGGAAGGTTGAAGACCAGACGAGCCGCTGCATTCTGGATGAGCTGCAGAGGTCGGATGGCACATGCAGGTAGACCAGCCAGGAGGGAGGTTGCAGTAGTCTAGGCGTGAGATGACGAGAGCCTGGACCAGAACCTGAGTCGCTTTCTGAGCATATGACGCACACCTGTTCCACAATTCTTCGTTTTCCGAGGCTAGGAAGGATTCTTGCATCGCTTCTGAAGGACCTGACTCGGAGGGACATGTCCTACCAAGGAAGCGTCCTCGACATTGAGAAACACCCTCTAACAGGGCTGAAACAGAGGGGTACGAGCAGTATGAGGCATGGCTACAATGGCTGATCTATTTGGTATTTTAAGCAAAAAACGTCACAGACATGTTTTGTATAGGTATGGCTCTACATTATATGTTTCCAATACAGCATGATAGGTCCACTTTAAGTAACATTTCCAAATAAGGACTGTTACTTCTAACGGGGCGTTTAAAGACCGTAGTTTTTCTAATTGTAGTTAAATGAACTGGCGTACTTGACGTTTTTTTATATGCTTTATACACTTCCACCACTGCACATCCACTCAACCAACCAATCAATCAACCAATCAATAAATAAATCAACCAACCAATCAATCAACCAATCAATAAATCAATCAACCAATCAATCAAGTTGTATTCATATATCCCATTTATCTCAGGAGGCTTTACAGTTCGCTCTGTCCTTAGACCAGGGGTGTCCAAACATTTTTCACCGAGGGCCACACACAGAAAAATATTCGAAGGGCTGGGCCACTCACTAGAGGTATATTGCCTCATAAGTTAAGTTATAAATTAGCAAAATCAATCAAATGTAAGTAAATGATGCTCGATACAACAACCTACATCACAGCTTTCCATAGGGTTTCATTTATTTTGTTAGCAGCTCATTCCTTAAAACAGAAACCTTTGCTTATCATAAGAGGAAATATGAAGGGTAGATTTCAAGGTTGTTATGTAAATAAGTTATTGGGCTTTTTTCTTATCAACTTAGATTTTTTAGAACATATTTTCAACTTCAATTGACTGAAAGTGGTCTTATGAACACTACTGTGTAATATCTGTTTACAGATATATTTAAGAAGTACAATACAAGACAAGCTCAAGTTTCATTTCTGGGCCATATTTCATTATACGTTTTGAATTTGCTGAGGGCCGATTCAAAATGGAAAACGTGGACACCCCTGCCTTAGACCCTCGCAATGTTCAGAAACACTCCCAAGAAAGCCCTCATCTACATCTCAGTATGTGGTTGCTGTGTTCAGTAAACGCATCTCTTAATGTTCTGTAATTGAACTGATGAAATATGTTAAATATCTCCAGTTTACTGTACCATATGGGGGCTCTGCGTTTAGTCTTCAGGGCTGAATCCAGATCAGCGGCTGAGGAATAGGACGACATCTTGAGAAAAACCAATATGCTCCCAAACTCTAATATTTTCCACCGAGTTAAACAGTTTGGTCTTTTTGAAAATGCTTCTGCTTAATTAGCAACAGAAACCTAGGGGGACTTTTCATAGTTGAGCAGCGGCGCTTGTACTTTAGCATGTGCGATGTTAAAAAATGGAAATGAAGACGGCTGAGTAAGAGGTTGACTTTAGTAAAACTGTCTCGCAAAAACATAACAGCTTTTCCCTTTAAAGACTGAGGAATAGAAAGAGGGGAATGTTGCTCAGTGATGAAGTCATCTTTCAGGAACATTTCCATTTTCTTTATTCCTGTTAAGACTCAGAGGTGGGAAAATGTGTTTTAATTCAGTTAAATTACAGGTGGAAGTACATTTACTCCGAGTACTGTACATTTGTGAGGTACTTGGCTACTTTGAACTTTTACTCCACTACGTTTAGGAAGCAAACATTGTGCTTTTTTCTCACCACATTTATTTGACAAGATGAGTTACTTTACAGGTATTTATTTTCATGAATGAATGCATTATGATACGTAATATTCTGGATTAAAATACCTTGCAGTATAACAAGTCATTAAAGGTATCTCCGCCATTACCAGCTGTCAGATGCATGCACAGTACAATATGTGCCTCCAAAATGAAGTTGCATAATTACCTCAAAATTGATGTACGATACTTGAGTAAATGTACTTCATTACTATCTACCTCTGTTAAGCCTCCCTCAGTGTATTTTTGCTGTTAAACAAAAGAAGAAATGGACAAAGTCAGCATGTGCTCAGTTTAGTAAACAGCTTATTTATTCCTTTACAAAATAGGTACAAATACACAAGTATTGTTTTTCACACAAACAGGAAATGTTCAAGATATGTACAAGAGTTTACCAAAAATAACGTGGTTCTAATAAACACAGTTTTGTAAACAATATTTACAAATCATCCTTACATTGAAATGTGATTTCCCCGTCTGTTTACATCAGTAATATTATCCTAATATTTTGGCTAAAAAGCTGTAATATTAAGAGTAGAAATGTCTTCCTGTGAAACAGAAACAATAGAAATCACTAATAAAATCTTTTTTTGTCACCACAATAATCATTGTTGTGCTTGTTTTTAAACATGGTATTTGGGACATAGAAAATATGAATGTGGAGTTTAAAAGCCAATCAAAAAAAGGGGGAAATTAATATATCAATTGTTAAAAATAACTGTCTTTTGTCAGAAGTTGGCAACGCTGTTTACAATTTAAAATGAATAATTCCTTTGCTGTGTTGCAGCGACAGCTTCGAGTTGTCAGGTAAAAAAAGTGAACAATAATTCTTTAAAATGTCACCAATGACAAGAAAAGCTGCATAGAGGCCAAGAGATTTAGTTAGATAGAAAGAAAACATAAAGTACATCATTGACAATATTACAGAATACGATGAAATAAAGAAAAATGACAAGGCGACAAACAAGACGACCGGCCCTTTCCTTTCTTCAGTCAGTTATACAAAGATAGAAACAAATTGGGATATTACAAATTAATTTGAGGCTGGAATAAACGTCTTCCTTCTACAATTAAATATTAATTTACAGCAGTGATATTTAATCTGGGATCAAAATAAAAACAAGTTGAAGTGCTTTGTTCATTCAGTCATTCCCAAAGTAGGTAGGGGGTTAAAGGGGACATCAGGACACATCAGCAACACTGAAAAATAGCTGCTTTTTTGTTTAAATGAAATGCTAATTATGTGCAGGCAGGACAGCGAGAGGAGAAAGGAATGCCTTTTTTGATCTGAGGTTTCATACAATAACCAAAAGTGTTTAAAGAAGTGAGCGAACACTACACAACATCTAGTCGTAAAAAAATAGTTCACATTCAGCGAGGGTAAATGAAAATATACTGACAAGGGTGACCAATCAGAAACGTGTGTCATAGTGCGACTATAATTTAGTTTAATTACCTTTTTCAGAAAGGTCACAGGGACTTTGTGTCATGTCTGATTCTCATTTTACAAAACATCCTAATACTGACACGGGGAATATTCCTCTTCCTACAAAGAGAACATGATCAAAATATACATGCTGGAAAATAATGTAATAAGATCTACAGTAAATTGAACGCGGTGCTGTTATTTGGAATCAAAACGATGTCTCATTAGAATATCGTAGGCTGCGTCGTCGAGGTGTGAATATATTCATCTCTTCCAAAATAGTCCTTACTTTGAGGTGGTTTATTGAAGCTAATGCCAACGATGTTAAATAAAAATATCCTGCAACATTTAAAACCCCTTTTTTTCCTATTACAAATCCAACACGACGAATTCCATATGTACGGTGGCCGACAGGTGCTAACATGGTACAACGACCAAAATACATTTCCGTTGCAATTAAAATTACACAGATGTGCAAAAACACATGCAAATGAAGAAACATCTACATCAACTTGACGAAACACAAGCGTAGTGTTTACTAAAAGCGCTGCATGAACACAACGATGCAAGAAGCTCAACGGGTACCAGGGGACTCTAAAAAGTGACACACACAGCTGGGACCGGGGCGATTGTTGACATTCAGGGTTAATAAAGTTGGCCAACTGTAACTGCCAATGGAAACTTACCTAAAGTCTAAGTTGTATCAGCATATTTAAAACATGTGATCACATTGCAGAAATATTGCAGATCTGCTGTTAGCTAGCTAGCTAACGTAGCTAACCTAGTCATTTCAAATACAAATCACAATTATCAAACAGACCAACTAATTTTATAATCCCTGAATGTCAACAATCGCTCCGGTCCTAGTTGTGTGCGTCACTTTTTAGTGTCCCCTGGTTTCTGTTTGGTTTTGGGTTTCTTGTCATTTATGCAGCGCTTCGCATGTTTCGTCAAGTTGGTGAATGTTTTCTTAATGCTGGTTTTATATTTGCTATGTTTCTGAAACTGCAGCGCGTTTCTCCTAATGGAAATCTTTTGGTTCGTTTTGCAGCGCGCTTGCACCGGTCAGCCGCCGTATGCATGGCCTTTAAACTCAATGACCTAACTACTCATCGTGAATCTAAAACAGGGATTTATTTTTGTACTTTTCTTTCTCTCTCTCCTTATTAAAAGCTACATGAAACGTCACTACAGTACACATGGAGACACTGAATCATTAGACCTGATCTGAAGGCACGTGGCGGGGGAGGGGGGGTTGAGGCTACTTGAGCAGGGCGCGGTAGAGGAGGAGGGAGTGGGCGGTCTCTCTCTCCTGCTCCATGTAGAAGATTAAATCCCTGAGGTTGACGCGTGTGATGCGCTGCCGTGCGTACTGACGCGACGAGGAGGAGGGGTCGGAGGAGCCGGACGGGGAGCCCATCGAGCTGCCTGACACCTGCAAGACAAGACAGAGGGCACAAGGTGAGATGGGGGATTAAACACTGGTTTCTTTACATTTCGAAATCCATCGTTTCAAGGGTTATTATTGCCCTAAATTCTTGACAAGGGTTCAAGAAACAATGCTGCACAATGCTTGCAGTACAACAACTGTGTGTCCACTGCTTCAACGTCAAAACTGCTACACCAAATGAACATTTGCTCAAAGATTGTAGGTCAATCTTTTGAGAAACACTATGAACCATACCTGAGCCTAACCACGCTTTGAACAGTGAATATGAATTGTTATCAAATCAAGGTACAGTGTCCCAAGATGTAATAAAGTTAGACAGCAGCACTGTGTGTACTAGAATTCTTAAAATCAAAATGTCCTCTTGTGGAACAGCCTCCCAACTGAGATACGGGGTTGTCCCACTCTCAATAGCTTTAAAGGCCAACTCAAAGAATGGTTGAGAAACAAACAGACGGGCACTCACCGCTAACTGCACTTTAACACAGGGGTATCTCCTCTTGCACTTTAGGTAGCTCTATTATCCCCTCTTGCACCTTATATGTCGTTGCTGCTAGATTGTACTGCCATGTGGTAAATACTCGTGTATGCTGCTCTTGCTCTTTTGCACTTTTTGCATATCATGTATTTTGTTTGTAAAACGTAATTTTCTTAAATGTTTTATGTGAGGGAAATTAGCTCAAAGCTAAATCTGGCACGCTTGATACATTTGAATGTTTTAAGTGTTCATTACTGTGCATTGTCCCTGCCAAGTAAACGATTAAATAAAAAATCCTGGATCGGATGTAGGTGAGAGGGTCATATTGGGTCCTTCTCAGGTCGACTATTTTCCTTTCCTCGCTCCTCGGTCTCACCGGAAGTTGATTTGTCTGCGCCATCTTGAGTACCGTCCCATGGCGCTTATTTCTGCCGGAGGACCGAGGATCGAGGAGCGATAATGGAGGAGCGATAACCGAGGAACCACCAGACCAGGGTCGGCGTCATGGGGGGTCATTCGCGGGCCATGCCCCCCCAAATGAGTCACTGTGCCCCCCCAACGCAGGGTGGGCAAGCCTTATTGCCACTTTGCCGTTTTTTTTTTTTAATCATATAAGTTAAAACGTTTCCACCAAAAGTTTTTTGTGTGAAATACATCAGAAATAAAGAATACACATTTGTATTCTTTATTTATTCTTTATATGAAACACAGCCTGAGGTGTGCTCACTGCTGCTCTCTGATTGGTGTGTTGCTTGACCAATGACCCCGACTTTTGTTTTGTTATCATTACGTGGCTGTGTGTTTAGATGAAAGCCCAGTGGCGATCTGTTCATCTGTTACACTGATTATACAGTAAAGCCATCGAAAATAATATGATATACAGTACAGTACAAGTACATGGGTCTCTGTGTTTCATTCAAGCTCGGCTCTCTGTGTGTGGCACGAGCGCATTTTGTCAGTGCGCGAGCGGTAACGTGGAATATTGTTGTTAGCATCTGGTTAGCTAGCTATGCTAACGGATATAAAGAGCTGTTTCTACACCAAGGTGGAGGAGAGTCCTCTCCTGTCAGACTGAGAGGATCTTATAACGTCAGCTCAGTGAGGTAAGGACTCTCAGTGTTTAGATAGTTCACTTTAGTGTAAGTTATCTCAGTGGGTCTCAAACGGTTTGGTGACCATTTATGTAAACAAGTATTTGCGAGGAATAGGCTACCTTTATATGATCATTATAGTCATTAAAGAATAAGAGAATAAATGAAAAACGGGTATGAAATACTATAGGACAGTAACACAAGAATACAGTTGAAAGGGGAGTGATTAGTAAAATATCCATAAAGAAAAAGTAAATCTGTGTACAGTTCTGTTTCATATGGATGTTGAGAGATGTATCCATAGATCTTCATGTTGCTCTCAAAGTGCACCAGATTGATGCATTTAACTTCAATATTTTAAAAATAATCTTCCCGGGGGAGCATGCCCCCGGACCCTCCTAGAGGAGGTTAGGTCCACTCCCCACCTAAAACATGTTCACATGGATAGGATACTAAATACTAAACACTTTTCATATGGTGGCCTATGTCCATATGTTTCTGTTTTGGTGGTCGTGCCACAACCGTGCATGTATGCACAGGTCATAGGTGCGCTATAAAATAGCACTACACCCTGCAATGTGTGTGAAAGACAATGGACTTTACAGCATGTTTTTTTTAATTGAAGTTGCGTTGGTGTTTGTGTGTTGGTTGTTGACGGCAGTATGTGCCCCCCCTTGGTAAATGATTTCCCCCCCATTTGATTTGTTCTAGAGCCGACCCTGCACCAGACCATCCTCCGATGAAATCCTCAGACACTCGCCCCGCCCCCTTACTGTGTATCGCTCACTGATTGGACGAGGCAGTGCATGCTCTGATCTCATGCTTCTTGACATGAGAGCAGTTTCCCAGCGGAGTGAAGAAAATACATGAACCTCACGGGAGTCACTCCTCAGTCTATACCATGTTTTGTTTCAATTAATGTTTCATTTAGTTACAAATATGTGATATATCTGAACAACAAAGTGGTCAAAAATCCTTTTATTCATTTATTGGAAACATTTTCATAATCGCTTTTTTCGTTTATACATTTTAAGAATGGCGTTTATCTTATTTGAGAATGAGTTCTTATTTTATTTAATGTATTTGGGTCTACAACAGATGATACACATGTTTGTGTCAGTAAATGTGTGGCGGGGGTGTTTGTGAAAATAACGGGGACAGAGCTGCTGTCAGACGATCAGCTGTGCGGCGTCATCACAAACGGACATCCTTCACGTGACGCTCCGGAGGAAAGGACGTCCCATTGCTCTTAAAACTAATTTCCCTGCTTCTCGTGGTTTCCTTGCGTCCCTCCATGCTTCCCTGGTGGGAGGGACTAAATGCAGGGAAACGACGCAAGTGAGGGAAGCAAGGAATCCATTTAACCGATCTGAGACGGACCCATTGTCTTCAGTGATTATAGTGTCAAATACATATGCCTCGCAGAGCTTGTGGCTTGACATAAACTTGAAATAAAATCCCGACATGGAAGAATTACACACATTTGAAGCTGTTTAGAAAACAGATTCTGAGAAGGTGCTTGATTTTGATCAACAGCGGTACAGTGATGATCAGACACACATCCCACTGCTCTGCAACTGATGACTGCAGCAACCTTTCATTGAGCCTTCATGTATCACGCTTTTGTGCTTATGCTCTTTATCAGAAATATCAAATGACTGGTGACTTGTTTGGGTTTTGCTAATTTCAATTTCTCCTTTATAAAGGAGATGTATCGTGCACTCTCTCTTCAGGCAGGTTGTCCTCAGTTTGCCTTTAGAGGAAGAAAAAACATCTTTGTCTGTGTGGCACAGCCAAGGGTTTGGTTTCCATGGTGAAGCATAGAAACAGTTCAGAAGTGAGCAAAAAACGATGTTTCCCATTTCCTATAAATGAAGTAATTGTTGTTGAATGGCTAACACATTGACAGTTTCAATAGTAAGGAATGTTGTGGCCTCTAACAAAGTACACACCTCCAATTAAATAAAGTTATGCCTGATGCAGAGCGAGATCAAACGGACAATATAATAACGTCCAGATCTTCAGGTGCACCAGTCTAAAAAAAAGAAAAGTGAAGGGAAGACATTGTTATTTAAGCTTGTTCCATGTTTCTTTACATCCTCTTGTAAATGAACAGATTTCCCTCTGACTGAACCACGCTGCCGACATAGATCTGAGCTGACGTCGGACTCTTGAAATGGAGCCCTGGTTGTTTGTATTTGATCCAGGAAGAATGAGACAGAAAGGGAGTGTATACAGAGGCTGATACAAATCAAGGGATGCATTTACATTTGGAAATGAGAAACACTGGGAACAACAATCCAGCGAGTGCCCACTTGAACCCAGGCAGAGAGAAATAAGACAGACGTCTCAGTCAGGAACACCCTCTCACAATTACATTGATTGCACCGCTCTGTAAACACACAGTACAGACAGGCTTTAATTGCAAACATATGACGGCTATGGATTTACAAGAACAAAACCAAAGTCCCTCCAGCAGCCACCCCCTCGTGTGCTTGTCTTTGTGTACATTATGACCGAGCTTTGTCTCAAATTTCCTTCTGTACACTCTCTGACCCCGGCATGGTGAGTGAGAGTAGCCAGGATACTGTTCCCCCCAATGACAGTAAACTACAGCACACCTACTGTAGCTTTAAATGCTATCAGCTGATTAAATGGACATTCTCAGAGATTTGTTTGAAGTATCAGGTCAGTGGTAATCAGATACAAAATGTACAGTTTCCTAATCATATCAATTGTTCTTGACATTAATGTTGAAATGTTGTCAAACTAGCTTTAATTGTTATCCACAGATTGTCAGGGCAGAGATTTAGACACAAAAGAAAATAGTTTCCCTCTTCAAATAAATTGTTCTTGGCATATTATGTTAAAACCTTTGTGTGTTAAACAAACATATATGCACCATCTACGTATGTTAGCTTCTATTGGCTAGCGCGGGACATCTCTTAGCGATTGACCAATCACAACAGAGCCGTCAAGTGAACCAATCAGAGCAGACTGTGCTCTGTTTCAGACAGAGGGTGACAGAGTAACATCAAGGTTACAGAGTATAACTGATTTAAATGTGTGGACGTTGGCCTTGGCTGATTTCCAGGCATTAACTACAATCAGTCCAGCACTGATCTCTGGTCAGTTATGCTAACATGCTAATAGGCTCTCTATGCCCCGCCCCCAGGGCACACCAGCCCTCCCTTTGGGGGGGCGACCACGGCCCAATCAGCTCGATGATGGCTGACCACATGTGAAAGATGGGTCTGCCGACTGCCATGCCAATTACTGCCACTCACAAGTAACCGGGGCGACAGACTGAACCAATCAAAGCCATCCATCCACCTGGACGGATGGGCAGCAGTAGCCACAGGCAGGTGGAGGGTAGATAGATAGATACTTTATTTATCACAAGTTGAGACATTGTTTTG